ATCTACTATCATATGCCGTTTCTAAATCCATAAATGCAATAAAAACTTCCCTAACTTTATCTAAATACTGTTCACATATATGCTTCAATGAAAACACTTGATAAAACCACCCCCTCCCCACTTGAAGCCCCCTTTGCTTCCCCGAAATTTCTCATTCTGTCTTACCTTTTATTCTTTCAATTATAACCCTCCCGTAATTTTTCCTGGTATACTCAGTAAACTTATTCCTCTAAAATTTTTTTACAATTCTTTTGTCCCCTTTTCCCCTTTTAAAAAGGGACTATACTTCTCCGCCAACCCCTGGGTACCTTCCCCTTTTCTACTTTAAAACAAAAGTCCCAAACCACTCCAACCTAACCCCCCCCCTGTTTTTAACATTTCTGTCAAAAACCCACAGTTCCAGCTGTTTACCCCCTTTCATTCTCGAAATGCCTCTCGTACCCACCACACTTACTTTCTGCTTTCCATCCTAAAGATGGTATACCCCCGGCCCATGCATAAAATTTTACCACCTCCCTTTTTTCCCTTAACATTTAAAATTTCCCTCAAAATTTCTCGCCATCTACCTAATACCCCCCCTTTCCCCCATCTTAACTCCCATGTTTTTAACTGACAAATCCATACTTTCCTGGTTTCTTAACTTGTTTAATATAAAATTTTTTTTCTTTTTTTTAAAATTTCTTGCGCCCCCTTATCTTTATCGTCCCTTTTGCACCTCCCCCATCTCTTCCACCTTTCTTTTATCTCCTATTTGTTTTTATAATTTGTTTTAAAAACCTCGAAGCTCCTTTTTTTTTATACCCACTTCACATTCCACCATCACTCCTCTTTCCCCCGCCCCCACCCCCCTAAAACCAAAACTTCTGCCCCACATTCTAATTTTGCTTTTTTAAAACTTTTCCCAACCCTCTTCAACCCCCCCCTACTATTTTTGCCTAGCCCCCCTTTTTCTCCAATACGCTTTATTCCCCCCCGAATTCCTCCCCCCTTATTTTTTTTACACTTTCATCTCCCCTTATTGTTGTTGCCCCCTTTCCCTTTTCCCCATCTACCTTTTACTCAAAATGTGCCAACAATAAGACCGATATATCAGTTCCCCTCTTAAACATGTACATCCTGGGCCTCCCCCATAAACCTTTATCCCCCAATAAAATCTAAAACTACTTTCTTACGTGCTACATTCCTTGTAATTTTTTTATCCCCTTTTTTATAAAAAATGTATTATTTTTTACCAATTTCTTTCTACACATGCTCAATTAAAAATCCCCCTTTACATTTTTCCCCCCGGCACCCCAAAATTATACTACTCCCCCTTAACATTTTTACCCACTTTAGCTTGAAAACCCCAAACCCCATTACTCTCAAAATTTATTTAAAACTCCCCACGCTTCATCAACATTTTCCCCGAATCTCTCTTCCCTCTACACTTCTCTCTTTTCCAGGTGCCCCTACACGTTACTAAACCCACTTTTTTACATCCATTTTTTTTACTCCACTAAAACCTTGAATTTTCATTTGTAGTCCCCCCTTTTTTCCCGCCCCTACTTTTCCTTCAACATTATTGCTATCCCTTTTTACACTAACTTATTTAAACCCCTGACCCAATCCCCTTTATTCCTTCCATTGAAATCTCCCACCCCCTTCAGCTTTGTTTCACTTAAAGCCAGGACATCCAGTTTCTTCTCATTCATAACATCCACAATCATCTCTTTCTTATCATTTGCACAACATCCACGCACATTCAGACTTCCCACTTTGACAATTTTCTTCTTCTTATTCTTTTTAGTAATCTTTACAGGAAAAGGGGTTACTAGCCCATTGTTCCCGGCATTTTAGTTGACTTTTACAACACGCATGGCTTACGGAGGAAAGATTCTTATTCCACTTCCCCATGGATATAAAAGGAAAAGTAATAAGACCAAGAACTATTAAGATAAAATCAAAGAAAACTCAGATGAGTGTGTATAAATAAATGTGTACATGTATGTGTAGTGTGACCTAAGTGTAAGTAGAAGTAGCAAGACATGCCTGTAATCTTGCATATTTATGAGACAGACAAAAGACACCAGCAATCCTACCATCATGTAAAACAATTACAGGCTTTCGTTTTACACTCACTTGGCAGGACGGTAGTACCTCCCTGGGTGGTTGCTGTCTACCAACCTACTAACCTAATGCTGATGGTTCACCTAAATACTTCTTGTCACAACCTTCACAAAGTACCTTGAGTTCCTTGATGGCTACTGTTATATAACTGTTTATCAGTAGCAATTATATGTACATTAGAAGCTATATTACTAACTGATAAAACAATGTATTTGCTCATTACATATACCAAGCTATATCAGGGAGCACTGCTGGTCCACCAGGGAACCCTGCTGGTGACCATGCTGGTCCACCAGGGAACACTGCTGGTGACCATGCTGGTCCACCAGGGAACACTGCTGGTGACCATGCTGGTCCACCAGGGAACACTGCTGGTGACCATGCTGGTCCACCAGGGAACACTGCTGGTGACCATGCCGCCAATTCCACCTTTATATGTTACTCTTCTTTTAACTTACATTCACCTGACTTCTTGAACTAAACAAAATGCTTATTTTAGCTGCTCTGTATTAGGACTCAATATGGCACTCATGGAAAAACTCTTCCTTAGTAAATTTTTTGATTAGATACACAAATAATCTGCACATAGAAGAGAGGAGCTTATGACGACGTTTTGGTCCGACTTGGACCATTTACAAAGTCACATTAATGAAAAGAAGAGGAGGGAGTATATATAGGCCAGGAGGTGGTAATGGTAGTAGTGGAGGTAGAAGGTAGTAGTGGGTGAGACAGTATGGTGGAGGTGGAGCCAGTCAAATACTAAGAAAGAGAACTGCAAGGGAGTTAGGGGCCCACAGAGGGGCCGGATATTTTCAGGCTGGATAATGGACCAGGCATCAGGTATCATCAGAGACATTTGATTGGTAAGTAACCAGTAGCCAATAAGTTTAGCAATAATATAGCCCTGCCAAATGGGAGAGTTCACCACACTACCTCCCCCACTACTGCCTTCTACCTCCACTACTATCACTACCACTTCCTGGCCTATACATGTATATACTCTCTCCTCCTCTCCTTTTCGTTAGTGTGTCTTTGTAAATGGTCCAAGTCAGACCTAAACGTCATAAGCTCCTCTCTTCTATGTGCAAGTTACTTGTGTATCATTCCAGTCATGGTATTGTGCCTTTTTTTTTATTTTGATTAGTGCATACATGTCTTTGCCTACTACAGAAATCTGGCTCAAATATGATACCACAGACATTTATACATAACTTAACTAGGTACAGAGCTATACATGACTGCAAAACTCATTGAAAGGGAGGCAGAAATGTAATCTACCACATAAATGAGATGTAATGTATGAACTCAACATGTACTACTACAGTGGAACTGTACCTGCCTGGCTGGTTGTTGTCTGCCGAGTTACTATAGTGTTGTGGTATCTGTATTCCACCAAACTCTCAAACCATTCTCTTTGGGGAAGGGAGGGGGGAGTTATATCATTATAACGTGTCAGCACCCCCACCAAGTAGGGAGAGGGATTATTTAACTGACTCTCTAAGGAGAGATTGTGAAACTCTAGCAACACATCCTTTTGACATTTAAATCATCACTGACTTGATGTTTAGCCATGAGACATGACCCATCAAGTCTAGGTCCACAAGTTTATGTCATAGTGACTGACATTCACACATGTCCAAGGCACTTCATCAATGTTTATTTTTTGCTATCTTTGACAACTGAGCCTAGGGTTGGCCCAGGCATACAGTTTTGAGAGCCAAGGATGGCAGTCTAGCTTGGGAAGTCTAGCATGAAGCAGCCTAGGAGTACTGCTTCAGAGGACATTATGTAAAGATATCCCAGGGTCTAGTAAGGAATGCCTAGCATGTGAGCACTGAAGGCTCATTTCTGATTTGTGGATCTTTGGACCTAACACTGGATTCACAGTCAGGTGTACTGAAGGTGACTATTCCCTTACCCATTCGAGGTGTGAGTGTTATCCATAAGGATTTGGACGACATTCAGACATGACAGCTCATTAGGCAAGACAGGAGTGAATGGATGTTTTGCCCTGACATCTCTAGAACCATTACTCCTTGGTATAGCTTACAACCTTGTCCAGTACAGACTGCAATACATAATCTTACTCTAGGTAGGTAGAGATCTAGCATAAACAGAGTGGTATTGATTCAAATTATCGAGAGTCATTCCCAGAGCTGGTCACCGTGTCAACTGCATGCAGCAAGAACCCTTCAGGCCAACATTCACTTCACCAGAGACTGAGCATGCTGGATAATGGATCAGGCACCAGGTATCATCAGAGACATCTGAGTGGTAACCAGTAGCAAGTAAGTTTAGCAGTATTATAGCCCTGCCAAAGGTGAGAGTTCACAATAAATAGATCTGGGATGGCTGGTGTCTAAGTGAACTTGAGTGATGTGTGTTTAGTGTCAGTCAAAGTAGAATGCCTAAATATCAACAAAAGTGGTACTGTACCTGCCTGCCTGGTTGTCTACCAACCTACTACAGTGGTACTGTATAACAATTACAGTCTCTCCTCAACCTACTAGCCTACTACCTTTTTCTTTATCAAAATTAATCATTTTCTAGTTTCTTTCTTGGCATGTATGTTGGGTTATGTAATTTCAATTACAAACTACAGTAGTCAAAAATGTTAAGTTTATTACAGTATCATTATCTTTCAGCATGGCATATAACACTAAAATTTAAGATCATTTATTACAGAATTTTGTTGAAATTATTTTGTGGAGTCTTGTGGAGAGATTACTAGCATATATCAACTTTTGGTGTAATAAACCAGTTTTATTATAAGACCTTTAGAGAAAATATTGTATATTATTAATTACAATAGTGAACATACAATTGCTATACATCTTTAGTATATAGTAATGGATTTTTCTCTACCTAAACATATTCTCTGATTTAACACTTACCATCTCCATAATAAGGTGGCCACAGATAGCACATTTCTCTGCAGTCTGTTGGAAGCCAGAGTAGAGGTAATCTTCTTCACAGTACACTTTTCCATGCACGTTGTAGAAAGCTTTTCCTCGCAGTGCACGTCCACAGGAGCAACAGATGAAGCAGTTAGTGTGATAAAGGTTGCCCATAGCCTGGCATGCCTGCCCAGCACCAGTCACTTTGTCTCCACATGTGTGGCAGACACCTGCAACAAGAATTTGCCATGAAATACATGACAGTAAAATAAAGTACAGCATCACACACACAAACTACCATGAAAATTATAAAACTTAAGAAAGAATAAAAGACAAATTTTGCTGTGCAATGAAAATGCATACAGGAACAAGAGTAAGAATGTCCTCATAGGAAAATGTTATCATTGAATTACCATAAGCACTTATGCTTGCCTCGATATTTTTAATTTATATGAATGACTTTCTAGCAGAAATATAAAAAATCTACATCTGTTTATGAATGATACAAAAAGTATTATTCATATATGTGAAAAATATTAACCCTTTCAGGATTTCCGACGTACTAGTATGGCTTATGCGCCAGGGTTTTTGACGTACTAGTACGCATAAATTCTAGCACCCTCAAATCTAGCAAGAGAAAGCTGGTAGGCCTACATATGAAAGAATGGGTCTATGTGGTCAGTGTGTGCAGTATAAAAAAAATCCTGCAGCACACAGTGTATAATGAGAAAAAAAAAACTTTGACCATGTTTTTGGTTTAAAACAGCGACTTCGCACTGTATTTTTGTATGGTATTTATAGTTGTATTCTAGTTTTCCTGGTCTTATTTTATAGAATGGAAGACATATTACAGAAATTGAGACGATTTTGATTGGTTTCACAATGAAAAGTACCCTGAAATTGAGCTCAAAGTAGCAGAAATGTTCGATTTTTGCCAAAGTTCAAAAGTAAACAAATCATGCCACGTGTCCAATACATGTCAACTGGTGAATCTAATATTCTTTCACAAGTGCACTGATATTATTTATACCATTTCTACACTAATACAGTTGTCTGCCTAACAGTAAATCTTCTATTTTTTTTCTTTTGAGAATAAAAGTTCAAAGTGGGAAGCAAAAGAAATGTAAAAGGGGCCTGGGGATGTGACTAATGAATAGAGGAAATGTTATTTTAGTGTCAGGAATGTCTTTCTTGTTTATTCTGGACCTTATTCGGAAATTGGTATCTTTTGAAATTTGTGTGAAATTGGCAAAATTGCTAAATTCTGACCACTGTACTGGATAGTTGAGATCGGTAAATGGGTAGTTTCTTGTACTCATTCGATAGAAAAAATGGAGTTCTAGCGAAATAGTTATGATTTGTGTCGACTAGTACACTGGAATTGGCCGAAAATAGGGCTCAAAGTGGGCAAAATCGCCGATGCATAAACATCGTTGAGACCGCTAACTTCGCGAGAGCATAATTCTGTAAGTTTTCCATCAAATTTCATACTTTTGGTGTCATTATGATCGGGAAAAGATTCTCTATCTTTTCATAAGAAAAAATGTTTTTTTTTTTTTTTTTTGAAAATTTGGTGACCCTGAGAACAAGTCTGGGAGAGGGCCTGTCGACCCTGAAAGGGCTAAAAACATCCGAGGGAGAATTTAGCGATCACTCTCACTGAAAATTCCCATAAATTAAAATGAAAATCTTTTTCAAGACACTGACCAACTTTAAAATAGGGATGGGAAAATACTGAAAAATCCATTCACAAGTGTGCAGCCAAAATGTGAGAGTGCAGTAGCCAAGTTGTATAATTTATGAAGCACTAGAACTATTTGGTTATTCATTTTTTAATGTAAAGCATTTTAACATACAGTGGACCCTTGGTATTTCATATTTAATCCATTCCAGAGACACCGGCAAAACGGAAACCATTTTCCCCATGAGAAATAATGTAAATCCCATTAATCCGTTTCAGACACCCAGAAGTATTAACAAAAAAAATTTTTTTAGCTTAAATATAGATTTACATGCAGAAAAGAATGACAAATAAATATAAAGCACTAATAAAATGTATAACTGAACATTTAACATCACACTTAACTTTACTGAAGACTACTATTGGTGTATGGCAGACGGGGCCAAGGGGAGAGGGAGGCAAGTTTGTTACATTATGCTTCATTATGACACTAATATCAACTCTATGGATTATTTATCTATCACAATTCATCTAATATGACATAATAAACAATATTAATAACATAGAAACATGACATACCCTAGAATGAATAAAATATGTCCTTGTGTATGTCACAAGTGGTGTTGTGTTGTTGTTGTTGGGTGTATAAGGACCACTGAGAGCATAAGCCATACATAGTGGTGGTGTAGGCAGTGTTGTTGTCAGGTTCGTGCTGTCGTTTTTCTATCAAATAATCGCTTAACTTATTTGTTACACTGTTAGTGCTACACTTTATCACTGGCTGGCACTATAGCCTTTGGTAGGTAAGACAGGCAACATTTAGGATAACTTTATTCCGAAACATTTCGCCTACACAGTAGGCTTCTTCAGTCGAGTACAGAAAGTAGGCAGGAGCAGTAGAGATGTGAAGACGATGTAATCAGTCCATCACCCTTGAAGTCGTAGATTTGAGGTTGTCAGTCCCTCAGCCTGGAGAAATTCTGTTTCAAAGTCTGAGTTAGTTCCAGACTTTGGAACAGAATTTCTTCAGGTTGAAGGACTGACAACCTCAAATCTATGACTTCAAGGGTGATGGACTGATTACATCATCTTCACATCTCTACTGCTCCTGCCTACTTTCTGTACTCGACTGAAGAAGCCTACTGTGTAGGCAAAACATTTCGGAATAAAGTTGCCTAAATGTTGCCTGTGTGTCTTACCTACCAACCTGTCGGTATTGTATACCATTTTGATATTCACTATATCCTTTATCAACTCGTGCTGCTTTAGTATCATACATATCGTAGAATCACGGAGTCACTGAAGAAGGCACATTTTCCCCCTCTCTCTTCCTCCTCCACTTTGGTACTTTGCTATGATTTCTTTCTTTAATTCTATCGTGTTCCTCACTTTCTTTACCAAAGGACTGGCATTAGGAGCTTTCTTTCGGCCCATGGTGGCTTATTTACCTGTCACACACAATAAACAAGTGTCAAAAATAATGGATTATTATGAAATGTTTCGTATGACCTCGCAGGATATGTTCACTCACTGAGAAACAACATGACACTGCCTAAGAATGTGTGTGGGAGGCAGCTTTGTGTGCACACTGGGCACTGGACAAGTTCCATACCATCGGCGAAAACGGAACCAATATTTTGACGAAAAAACTTGGCGAAAACGGGAATCGGCAATAACGGAGATTGACGAAAGGGGAGGGTCCACTAATTCATTAGTATCAGTTTCAGCTGTCTGAACAATTTGTTATTATCAACACCAAGTTATTGCTGCCATAGCTAATTTAATGTCATATTACAAATACATGTATACAGTGGACCCCCGCATAGCGACTTTAATCCGTGCAAGAGGGCTGGTTGTTATGCGAAATGTTCGGTATGTGAATGAATTTTCCCCATAAGAAATAATGGAAATCAAATTAATCCGTGCAAGACACCCAAAAGTGTGAAAAAAAAAAAATTTTACCACATGAAATGTTAATTTTAATACACACAAACTGAAAAAGGCATGCACAATTACATGACACTTACTTTTATTGAAGATCTGGTGATGATTGATGGGATGGGAGGAGGGGAGAGAGTGTGTTAGTGTTTAGAAGGGGAATCCCCTTCCATTAAGACTTGAGGTGTCGAGTCCTTTTCTGGGGTTACTTCCCTTCTTCTTTTAATGCCACTAGGACCAGCTTCAGAGTCACTGGACTTCTGTCGCACAACATATCTGTCCATAGTGGCCTGTACCTCTCATTCCTTTATGACTTCCCTAAAGTGTTTCACAACATTGTCAGTGTACAGGTTGCCAACAAAGGCTTGCAATAGCTGTGTGAGGGTGATTTTCATCCATGAAGGTTTGCACTTCAAGCCACTTTGCACAGATTTCCTTAATCTTTGTAGTAGGCAACTTCTTCAATTTCTCTCTCCCCTCCTCTGAACCAGTTTCCTCAGGTCTGGCCTCTTGCTGTTGAAGTTGATCTATCAGCTCATCAGTGGTTAGTTCTTCATTGTCCTCCTCCACCAACTCTTCCACATCATCCCCACTAACCTCCAACCCTAAGGACTTTCCCAATGCCACAATGGATTCCTCAACTGGCATAATCCTCTCAGGGTTAGCCTCAAACCCTTCAAAATCCCTTTTGTCTACACATTCTGGCCACAGTTTCTTCCAAGCAGAGTTCAAGGTCTTCTTAGTCACTCCCTCCCAAGCCTTACCTATAAGGTTTACACAATTGAGGATATTAAAGTGCTCTCTCCAAAACTCTCTTAGAGTCAGTTGAGTTTCTGAGGTCACTACAAAGCACCTTTCAAACAGAGCTTTTGTGTACAGTTTTTTGAAGTTTGCAATAACCTGCTGGTCCATGGGCTGCAGGAGAGGAGTGGTATTAGGAGGCAAAAACTTCACCTTAATGAATTTCATGTCCCCATAAAGTCGCTCTGCCACGTCTGTAGGATGACCAGGGGCATTGTCTAACACCAGAGGCACTTAAGTTCTAATTTCTTTTCAGTTAGGTAATCTTTCACATTGGGGGCAAATGCATGGTGTAACCAGTCATAGAAAAAGTCCCTAGTGACCCATGCCTTACTGTTTGCCCTCCACAGCACACACAAATTCTCCTTGAGGACATTCTTTTTGCCTGAATGGTCTGGGAGTTTCAGAGTGATACACTAATAAAGGCTTCACTTTGCAATCACCAGTAGCATTGGAACACATCAACAAAGTAAGCCTGTCTTTCATAGGCTTATGTCCTGGGAGTGCCTTTTCCTCCTGAGTAATGTAGGTCCTGCTTGGCATTTTCTTCCAAAACAGGCCTGTTTCATCACAATTAAAACACTTGTTCAGGTTTCAGTCCTTCACTGTCTATGTACTTCTTGAATTCCTGCACATATTTTTCAGCTGCTTTGTGGTCCGAACTGGCAGCCTCACCATGCCTTATCACACTATGTATGCCACTACGCTTCTTAAATCTCTCAAACCAACCTTTGCTGGCCTTAAATTCACTCACATCATCACTAGTTGCAGGCATTTTTTTAATTAAATCCTCATGCAACTTCCTAGCCT